TTGTTGTGGTATCAGTGCTGTTAATTACCGGAGTAAACAGTTGAAATGGTGCCAAGGTCTATTGTACAAGGCAGAGGAAAGGAGGTTTAAATGTTACTTCCACCATCTGGGGACTGGAGGAGAGGCAAATGCTGGAAAACAGCAGTGAGGCAATATCAGAACTCCAGCTCCGGGGTTTGAGGCCATATGGATCCGGAATATTTGGAATCAATTGAATTTAAGTGCCAGTTTGCAGCAATAACAGCGTGGAAGGAGAGGAGAAAGCAAGAGCACTAAAGAAATCTGAAATGTGCTAATGTTGTCGCAGCCAATAAAGTGCCTGCTTGGATTATTTTAAAAATGTTTGTTTTGCTGAAATCCAAAAAAGTAACACATAGGCAACTCTGGGAATAAAAGGAGTGGAAGTGTGTGTTGTTTGTGGAACACAAAGCAGGTTTTTGTCTGACAGTTCCTGTGGCATTACAGCGATCGCCGTTGAATCCCGGGGAAGTGGCTGTGGGGTCTCTGTGCGATGCTTTTCTTCTTTCTGAAATCACATTTTTGGAGTTCACTGGAATCCTTTCTGTAGAAATACAAGCCTTAGAAAGGGGGGCAAGTCACAAAAGGGCACTGCATTTATGGAGGTTAAAACTAAATTAGTTGGGAAAACAATATTAATCTGAGGGCACCAGAGTTGTTTGAGCGTTTGCAGAGATCTCATTAAAATACAGAGAAGATGCCTTCAAATATTACCTTTTTTTTTTTGTGTGTGAGGGTTAACTTCATAATGTCCTGAACTTACAAATGCTGCATTTGAAATAATAACTGTATGATTGTTGTTTTTAAAGAGAGATTTTTGAAGATCGTGATAATTGTTTCCCTTGCTCTGAAGGGAGATGTGGGGAACCTCGAAAATGCAGAAGCTGCACCTCATCCAAGGCACGTTTTTATGCATAAACCAGCAATGCAAGTGGATATTTCGGATCAAAATAGCAAACTAATTATTAAGCTTATACTAATTTCAAATCGATACGCTGCACATAAAATGCAGAGTTATTTGAGAATTCTCAGGCCTTTCAGGATCCTTTTTGTAGCTGATTTTTGGCAGCACGGGCTGCGGTGATTTGATCTTTGATTTCCCTGCCTATATTGTTTCCCAAGCTGAGCGGGGATCTGGGAGCATATTGTGCTGCCTGTTTAGGAGCGTTCCGAGGAAATGGGAAGGATCTCTCGTCCTAAACCATCCTGGTTTATTTATTTTTTATTGGTCTGTTAGCAGATGTTGGAGTAGTTCAGGGCACAATGCAAACATGTGCTTTTTCAATGGATGGTAAATGGGAAAGTGCACAATGAAAGGAGCGATGGGGAGGGGGTTTGGACCAGGGCAGGGGGGTGGGAGGGAGGCTTTGTGGGGTGTTTTGTGTGCGTGTGTGTGGCTGGGGCTGAATTTAGAATTAAAAGAAGCGCTTGATCTTTACATATTGAAATCCTCGGCGTGCGGAGCGACAGCCGAGAAAGCCGCGGCCCCATGTGGCGTGGAAAAAAGGAACAGCAGTTTGAGTGCTGCCAAGTTGAAAGGGAAAGGAGCTCCTTGTTGGGGTGGTCACGGGAAGAGGCCGCTCTGTGCTGCTGGTTTGAAGCGTGGCAGATGTGCCCGAGCCCCACAAAAAACCCCCGGAGCCGGAGCGAGCCCAGGCCCAGCTCGGAGCAGGCGCTCCCAGATCATCCCCGTGAGTTGGGAGCGCTCCTTCCACCCTTCCCTTAGTGGTGGGGTGGCAGCCCCGTGTGCCAGGCAGCTGAAACGGCCCATTAGCTATCAGGGAAAATCGTCTTTGCTCCTTTCGGCAGATGGAGCAAATATTTTACCGAGCAATTTTCCATAGGAAAAGCGTTTGTGCGGCTCGGGAGCGACGGCTCTGTTCTCCTCGCTCTCGATGCTCCCTCTCCCGGCTCGTGCGAGGCAAAATTGGCACTTCTTAATTTTGAAATTTGCAGTTAACAACGAGGTGCCCGGGCTTTAAATCAGGTGGCAAACTTTAAGCAGATAGAGGCTTGTTCAGCGCAGCGCTTCCAAAACCATTTCCGTGTTTAAAAACTTCTCGAATTGTCCTGTAAATTGGCCAGCGTGTACCTCTCTGAATTAGGGGAAAACCATCAAATCGGTTTAATTTGCAAAATAGGAAATCATGGCAGTTATTTGGGCAGTCAGAAGCAGCTGCTGGGCTCTCCCCCATTTGCTGGTGTCACTGAGGATGTCAGAATGAGCTGGGCTGGACCCATTCCCACCGAGGCAGCTGGAATAAGTTATCCCAGCTCCACTGCTCGCAGCAGAAAGGCTTTACTTGTAAATGGTAGGAATTGTCATCGTGCCATCCAAGTGGCATAAATTGCCATGGCTTCATTGACTTCAGCAGAGATGTGGCAGTTTGTATCACTCAGGGTCTCTGCTGGTTTCATTCCTCTCTGGCCCACTCAGCTTTACTTATTTGGAGTTACTTTCTTCACTCTATTTGCTTGCAAGGTCTAAATAACTTGCTTTCAATCTGATTTTTAGCTAAAAAGCCCTGGGTCTCTGTCATGCTTTCTCCTGCTCTGCAGCCTCTTTCTTTCCCCAGGTCTTTTTTCCTATTTCTCAGTGTATTTCTCCTTCCTATTTATTTACTTCTTTTCTCTTCTCAACAGGCTTTTCTTTGCTGCCTGATCTGTCTCCAGCAGTTTTCCTACCAGTGCCTTCAACATCTGCCACATTTGATCCTAATTTTTTGTTGCAACTGCCGTTCTGAGAAAGCCTCTTGAAATTCAGCTTGCAGAAGGGTGAGGAATTATTTTATATTTAGAGGGGAAAAGGTGTATTTTTGGTTTCCTCTTCCGTGCTTGTTCATTGTTGTAAAAAGGTGCAAAACCAATCTGGATAATTTGAAGATTTTTACAAGACAGAAACAGTATTTGGGTTGCTGCTTTTTTACTGGTGCTAAGAAACATCAGCTGAAAGATTTGAACAAATGCTCCCAGTTTCTGTTGGGTCTGGGATCCTGGATTGTTTTGAGCCACGCCAAGAGCTAAAACATTGGTGAGCTCTGCTGGAGATACCTCCAATTGACATGGAATTACCAGCCAAGCACTGCTCCTTTTAAAAGATTTGACTTCACAAGTGATTGTTGGATCCAGGCTTGAATTTGCCTACTAAAACTCCCTATAATCAGGATTTTTTAGCCTTTTTAGAGCTGACAGTTGCAAAAAAACCTCCAACTAGAATTGCAGGTGCTGATCCTTAAAGAGCAGCTCTCTGATTATCCAGGCACTGCTTGTCCAAGGCACTGTCACGTTGGGCTGGAGCTCCCAGGGAGGTTTTTCAGATTTGCTTCCACCTCCATTTGTGATCCTCTAAAATAACTCTGACAGGAGCTACAGCTCAGAATGGTTGCAAAGGAAAGTTGTCCCACTTCACCTGCTCTTGGTTCAGTGTTATTTACACAGGCTTGGTCACAGCATTGGTTTTTGCCATGAGGTTGTGCTGCTTGTTGTGTTGATTTACTGACTAAACCCATTTTTAACCTTTTTTCCTGAGATGTTTGAAGTCAACAACACTTTTTTCTCCTTGTTATATGAGAGGAGCCCACATAGCCCAGACCAGCATTGTTTTCTAAGGCTTTTAAATATTTTTAAGGCATTTTTTTCTCAATTCCATGCGAGGTAAGGACAGGAATTGTCCCCCATTTGTGACTGGACAGGCAGAAAATCCCTTTCCTGGAGTCTCCTGCAGGCTGCAGTCAGGAACAAGGGGTATCCAGGTCTCCTGTACACAGAGTTGATCCCCAATTGCCCAGTTGCCCTGGGAGATTGTGGCTGCCCCATCCCTGGAAGGGTTCAAGGTTGGATGAACTTGGAGCAACCTGGGCTAGTGGAAGGTGTCCCTGCCCATGGCAGGGGGTGAACAGGATGAGCTTTGAGGTCCTTCCAACCCAAACCATCCTGTGATTCTAATCTCACTGGTCCATCCTCCTCATTCTGCCAGATAACTCCCAGTAAGCTGAGTCTGATTTTGTATTTTTGGACACATCACCCCATGACAAAGCCCCTCTCTTCAAACTCGCTGCTCTGCAAAAAGAGCTTTAATGTTTTATTTCCTATTCTTAGCTGGCAGCCAGAAGGTTTTATCCCCTTTCCTCCAGAGCTCCAGATAAAATGGCTGTGGCTCTGCCAGGATCAGAGGAGGGCTGGTCATCTGCTGGAGCACGGGGTGCTGAGGAGAGAGGGTGCCCAACAGAAGCCAAGAGCCCCAGGGGGAGCAGGAGGAGGCTCATGAAGCAGCAGGAAAAGGAGCCTGAAGCAGTGGAGTCAAGGTCCTTGCACTTTATATGCTTTGTGTACTCTGGGATGTTGGGAACAGTAAAAGCAACGTTGCTTTCTGTGTTTAATGGGGTTGGTTTGTGTGTGTGTGTGTGAATAAAGAATTTAAACCCAGGGAAAAAGCTGGTTTAGTTATGGAATGACTCATCAAGTTCTGCCAAGGACAGAGGCACATTTACACTTGGGAATTCGGTGCAGACATTTTACAGAGTGGAGAAGGATATTTATTAAACTAAAGAGTGTTTGGGTTGATCTCAGAGCTTAAGCACAGAACTAGTGCAGCTATTGCTGGCACATGTGACTATTCCAATGTGCTGCCTCAAAATACAGGCAATTCAGAAATTATTGACTGCTGCTATTGATCCCAGGCAGTTACCAAGTCCTTGGCATTTTCACTTGCCAGATCCAATTATTGATATAAATTATAATGCAGGAGCTGCTGTACTGATGGAGGGGGGATTGCCTCTCAGAGAAGGCCACTTTGCAGCAGGAAGGAAGAGGAGTGAGCAGAAAAATTAAAAAAGGCTTCCTGACTGTGGGTAAACAGTAACCACATTTTTTTTTTTTTTTTTTTTTAAAGCCTGTTGGAGGCCTGGTTTTTAATCACCCCACAAGCAGTTTTCATTTCTGTAGTAAAATTGCTTGTGGTTCTATTTAATTTGTTTCTGCAGGAGCTGGCTTTGGTGAGGATCTCCCAGGAGCTGCCGGGCCTTTTAGCACAGCACGTACAGCCAGTCAATGAGAAACGATTCCCTACATGGGAAAAATTCCTCCAAACATTCCTCACTCAAGGTAAATAAGACTGCAAAGTCGCTGGGAAGTGTTATAAGGAGTAATTATACCATATTGGATGCCATATTCTTGTTAATCTCAGGCCCATTTAAATATTTATCTCCTTTTATTTCTCCATTAGGCTTCAAATGTTCATTTACCAATGAATTATAGGCCACTGTTCTATCATTCATATGTCCTAGCCAAGCTTTGAACTTCTGTTAGTCCTGGATTACCTTTCTCACATGATGCTGAATCCATAAGCACCAATTCCTTAATCCTGGGGCTCTCTACTAAAGGCTGGTTGGCAATTCCAGCACAAAGAGAATATTTCATCTATAAATTTCACACAGTTCTTTATCTGTGGAAGAGACAAGAACGAGTCAAAGCTCTGAAAGTGTTTTCAGTTAACACATCTAGTACCAGTTTTATTCCACAGTAGTTCATCCTAACTGAATGAACTGTGGCATCATGTGCAATAAAAAGGGAAATCCAGAATGCCAAGCAGTTTTCTTTGTGACTTTCCTATGGAAAAACCATGCTGGAAGTTGTCATCTGCACACCAAATTCCTCATGGGGATGAGTAATACAGGGCAGACTCTTACCTAAGACCATCCTGTGGATGGAGTTCTCCAAGATGAGTTCACAGCAGGAGACACCAAGAGCCCAACATTGTATTTTCCAGCTGTTCTGGGCCTGGTGTTTAGCTGGGTTCACTCACACTGCCCCAGACCATGTTTCTCCAGTCAGATGTGGGATATGTGCAGTTGGGAAGTGGAACTGGAAAGCCACTGGTTGAACTCCACGGTGCAGTGGTAGATGAGGTGTCTCCTTTCTCCCGCAGGGGATCCACTGGAGCTCTGCTGCTCCCATCCCATTCCTTTCCTTGCTGTATCCCCCTGCAGTGCCTGAGCTCAGGAGGAGCTGGTGCTTCCCTCTGTGCACTCGGAGTTGTGGATTTGCTCCCAGGCTGAAGAGCTGATCCGTGGATCTGTTCCCCCCAGGTGGAGTGATCGAAGCCTTCCCGCTCTCCGGCACTGTCACCAACCTGACGGTGGATCTGCTGATCGAGCCGACAGGGGACATCAGCATCGTGTCCTCTGGGGACCAGCTCCACGCCGAGGGGCCCTTCAGATCCTCTGGGACCACCATCCCGCAGCGCTCCGTGGATCCAGCGCTTCTCAACTCGCTCTGCTGGAAAATTGGGGCCGCCTGCAGGTCCAAAGGGCTGCTTGGCTACCTCTCCGTTGACTTTGTGGCTTTCACCCATCCCCAGACGATGGAGCAGCAGGTGAGTTACTCCACACTGTTCCCTGAGATCATGGAATGTCAGTTTTCCTGTGGAATTCCAACCAGGAGAAAGCTCTGCCCTTTGGAACAAACTGTGTTTCCAAGCTGTGGGGAGTTTGGATGGGAGCGAGCACGTGGGTGTTGTAACAGCAAGGTAACATTTGGGCCTGATGCATTTCCTTTTTCACTCCTCTGATGCTTTTCTTCTACAATCTGCAGTGAGGACCCTCAGTGTTTTGACTGTAAAAGGGAACATCCCTGTATTTAAAGGCTGGGGGGGAAATAGGTGGGTTTTGAGGAGATGGGGTGGCTGTTTGTCCCACCTGTGTGGGGTGAGAACAGGCTCTGAGCACAGGGGTTGTGTTTAAACCCAAGGAGTTACATGTGGTACCTGCTGGCTAAAGCAGTGCTGTGACAATTATAGTCCAGTTTAAGCTCAGAGAAAGCTTAAAATCAGGTTTTTGTAACTGATACCACTGTAGGGTGACTGTGGTGAACCAGAGGATGGAATGATTGTAGAATCTTGGAATGGTTCGGGTTGGAAGGGACCTTTAAGCTCATTTCATTCCACCCCGCTGCCGTGGTGGAACCTTCCACTATCCCAGGTTGCTCCAAGTTCATCCAACCTGGCCTTGGCCACTTCCAGGGCTGGGGCAGCCACAGCTTCTCTGTGCCAGTGCCTCACCACCCTTAGAGTGGTTTGTTGGCTCTGGAATCCAGATCCCAGTTAGATTTGACTCCCAGGATGTGTTTACACAGACATTGTACTGCAGATAAGCCCTATTGGACAACTTCCATGGAAAGTTGCTTTAGAAGGATCAAGGGATGACTTCCCTCACCCACAGAAGTCCATGGAGTTGTGCTAATTGTTTCCCTCCAGCCAGGAGTTCACTGAAACCCAGGAATGCTTCCTAGATTATTCAAGTTATGACATGTCCTGGCATGAACAAGGACATCTTAGATCAGTCAGTGTTTCTTGTGGCCTCTCAGGATTCCTCTCTGCTCTGTCTTGGTTTTCTTCCCTTGGTTCCAGTTGATTCTACCTTACTGTCTCCTATGTTTGTCAGCATGTACCACAACTTTAGCATTATTTAAGCCCAGGTTTTTAAATTTAACTAGATGTAGAGGCAATTAATGAGGCCATCTGTCTTGTGAGAGGGAGATCACACAAAGGATTGTGTTCCTGAAAGCACTATTTTTTTGGCAAACAAGAAATCCTATTAAACTCTCAGAACATTTGCTCACTAATTTCACAAGTGCCCACTTTAATGCAGTAGCTGGAAGGCTCAGATGCATTTCCTGGAAGTACAAGATACTTAGGAATTCTTTCAGAGTGTATTTTATGGAAAATATCGACCTTTGGAGCAGTGGGAGCAAAGGGACTCCATGGGGGATAAGGGACAGTGTGTGTTGTCAGACACAGCTCAATGGGAAGGCAGAGCCTTGGCTGCCATGAGCACCCCAGCAGGATCCAAGGGGCAGAGAAATGCTCTGGAGACTCCACACAATTCCCTGTTTGCCTCAGGAATCCATTCCTCTCTCAGTTAAAAGCATCTGTGCCTTGTTCCCGAGGGAAGGGAGATGGAGACACGCTGTTTTCGAGGGGAAGAAGTGGAGGAGAAGAATTAGGTGCATAATTTGGACTGAATCACTTCTGATTCTCACTCTCTTTTCCCAAATTGATCGTTCAGAGCAAGGCCTTGACCCCTCAGGGTGAAATCCTGCCCAGTGTTGAGTGTCTGCTGCTCAGCCCCCACCTTGTCAAGGAGCCCGTTGGATTGAGTGGGACTGATTGAATGCGTGACCTTCCTCACATCCACAGCTCTGTGGGCACGTAATTTGGAGAAGCAGGGTCCTGAGCCAGCTTTTCCATGGATCTGATGGCTTTTACACAGCCCCAGCCCTTGGCAGGAGCAGTGAGAGAAGGGTGGATGAACAGCTGAGGGTGGAGACGTTCACTCCGTGCCTGAAGGGCTCTCCAGACAGTGGAGCGTTTTTGAGGTGTTATTTTCAAACAAGAGCCACAGGGTTTTCATTAACCATCTCCCAATCTTATATTGAGCAGGATAGAGGAGTTGTAGAGCCCTGGAAGTGAAGTTTTTGGGCAGCACCAGCCCATCCCAGCAGCTGCCACGAGATGGCAGCCGGACAAGGCCCTCCCTGCCAGCGCTGCTGGAATCATCCCTTCTCCTGCAGCTGTTCCAGGCAGGACAGCAGCTCTCTCCTCAGCACCCAGCCTGCATTCACATCTTTCCAACTGACACTTTTACAGGATCACCCCCCCACTTCTTTAAGAGCAGCACGTGGGCTCTTTGCAATAACCCAAACATCAGTACCAGGCACAGAGAAAAAACTGTTAAACTGGGGGAAGGAAAGCTGTAATTTAGGAACTCCCTAAGAATTTATGTTTCCTTCCCTCCTCCAGTTTAGGTGTTAAAGCTGAAGCATTTTCAGGGAAGCTGTAAGGAATTGCAGTGCAGTTGTGGCTGTGTTCACTGGAGATGCTTTGCCGTGAGGTGCAGGCTCTGAGCTGTGCTCTCTGAGGAGCCTCCTTTGGAACAGGAGCACTTCCAGCCTTCACGGTAATTCCTTGGACAAACAGCCAGCAACTCTTGCAGGGTGTATTTCTAACTGATTTTTTTTCCAGTGGAGGCATTCTGGGATGTCCAAACCTGTGCTTTGCTTAGCTTGGCCTAAAACCACTCTTAAGTCAATCGAAAATCTTAACTTACTGACTCTGCCTTTGACCTTTGATTTGTGGTTTGATAACCAAATGTCAGTTCTAGATTTCTCAAGTGAGCTCTGTTCCAGCTGAATTTCTGAACAGAATTGTCCTGAAAATCCCCAAATTTCAGGTGAAAGCTCCTTGTGTTGTGCTCATTTTCCATGCAGTCCTCTCAGGATGTGACTGACAATCATAAATACCTGTGTGCCCTTATTGTATGTCCTCAGAAAATGAGGATGGACTCAATAATCTCTTTGTTAATCTGTAGGATTGTATCATTCTTTACTTAAACTTGACCTTTGCCCAGGCCTTCCTCCAACAGCTCCTTATTTACTGGAGGAGCTGATAATTCAGCTGGTTATCAACTGCCTGACCCTCTCAGGCACTGCTTTATGCACTGTGGAAATATATTCATGACACAGATTAAAAACCCAGCCACAAAACAACCAGAGCTCAGCCTTTTCAAGGCCTTCCAGGAGCTCTGGACACCCATTTTTATCAGTCCAGAGGAAAACCTGTTGCAATCCAATAGATGTTAACAGAAAGCTACACATGAAAGGACAGCTCAGGCCTGGCCCAACTTCCAGCCTTGCTCAGAACTACCAAAAACGTTGTTATTGCCTGATGGTTGTGATTAAACAGAGAGCATTTGTGGCTTCAGGAACTGCAGTGAGACTGGGAAATGGTTCCATGAAAGAATTCAGGCAGCTAGTTACCAATTAGCTCTCATTTGAGCTAAGAAAACGGGGGAAATTATCCCTAAAAATAAAGGCAGTCCCCTTGCCCAGCCCAGCCCCGTGTATTTCCCTTGCCTGGAGCAGCACAAAGGGGATTTAAAGGGTTTTCATGGCAAAAGGGAATCCCCTGCTAGGATAAAGCTGGAATCTTGTGCCATCTGATCCTTCTTCCTTTCTCCCCACCTCAGGGATGTTCTGGGACACATCCAGGGCAGGAAGGGCCATGGCCACAATGTCGTGTTCTCTGACGATCCTGAGCCAGGAAAACAATCCTTGGGGGTGATCCCAGCTGGCACAGGGAAGGGACCATTTGGCTGCTTTTTAAGTTGCAACAGGGGTGGTTTGTCCCCAGGCTCAGGCCTGGGATGGAAGGAGTGGACAGGTGGCTTCCAGCCATGTTTGCCTTCCTCCTGCTCTCCTTCCATTAAACACGCAGGATATCTGGTGATTCGTGCAGGATGGGACCGCAAATGGAGCTCAGGAGGTGTTTAGAGCTCTCCTTTAAGAGTAACAACAACAGGGGAAGGGCTGCAAACCTTCCTTCATCCACCCTGGAGACCCAAGCCCTGAATTTCACAGCCAACAGCATAAGGGTGGTTGGTCTGAAATGATGAAGCCAGAGTATTGGCCCACCTTGAGCCCAGCTTGTCTCCTGCACCTCTGCTTGGGCATCAACAAATCCTCCAAGGTGTGAGTTTTGAGGTCAGGTGTAAGGTCAGGGTCTGGATTAGGAACACCCAGCTCCCTTTGAGCCCAACAGTCCTCAGATATCCGAGATTTCCACGAGTGCCTGGTGCCCTCATGCAGCTCTGCCACCTCCTTCTGGGGGCCAAGTTTCACCTGAGAATCTAAAACCCAGCTCAAACAAGATCAAAGACACACATCACAGACTTGTTGCTAATATTTATAATAATATTTATCAAAATTAACCTGTCACTCCTATAATATGAGTAGTTGGTAACTGTGATTTGACTCGTTGAGAAGGTTGGCACATACTGGAAAAGCACAAATTGAAGGGAAAGTTCCTTCCTATCTTGCAGAAGTGATGATAAACAGTAAATTACTGAAGAAAATTAAACTTTATAATTGGGGAACATTCCCTATTACTAAGCAGAGGCAGCCATTACCATCCTATTTGCATCTGGTAGCGTTGCAGCAGGAAATATTTAAGTTGACAAATAGGATATTTAATACAGCAACAGATCCTTGGCAGTTGGATATTAACAACTGTTACTGGGGTGATTTATTCCCCATTATCCAAAGGGCATTACCATGTGCATATGATTCCCAAATTAACTCCGGTTCTCCAAGAGGCCTTGGCTGCCTGACCCCTTAATATCCTTCTAATGATGCCATTTACCATTCAAGGGCTTAGTCAACTTGTTCACTGGGGGATTTGTTTGAAGGGGTGCTCTGGAGGGCAGCTCTGGGGGTGTGGGAACATTTCTCACCGGCACAGGAGACACAAGGATTTAATTTTTTTTTTTAAGTGGGAAAAACTCACAGGGAAAACCAAGCTCAGGTTATTGGGGCAGAGGAATCTGTGGTGCCTCCTTCTGCTTCCCTCAGCCTTCTAAATCCTGCCTGAAAAATTATTTCTGGAGTTACAGAAGAGCGCTGATTGTTCCCATTGGGAAGGGGTTTGTAGAATCCTGAAATCCTGGAATGGTTTGGGTGGGAAAGGACCTTAAAGCTCATCCCATTCCACTCCCTGCCACGGGCAGAGACACCTTCCAGTATCCCAGATTGCTCCAACCTGGCCTTGGACACTTCCAGGGATCCAGGGGCAGCCCCAGTTTCTCTGGGCAAGCTGTGCCAGGGCCTGCCCACCCTCCCAGCCAGGAATCCCTTCCCAACACCTTCATCACTCCCAGCGCTGCAGCAGGAGGGCAGAAGCAGGAACACCAAGAAAGGCAGAGATGTTCCCCCACAATTGCTGAGTTTTACCCTCCTCTGGAATTCACTCCAATGCACCTCTTTGTTTGGATCAGGTGTGGGCAACAGACCTCGACCTGTGCTACAGTGACCAGCTGGCCCTGACCCAGCTCGTGCTGTTCCTGACAGATGGAAACCTGGATTGTGGCTCCAGCCCCCTGGAAGCACCTCCTGGGTCCCAGGCAGTGAAGAGCCAGCGGATTCAGCGTGAGGGGACAAAACCTGTAAGCAGTGAGATGTTCACAAATCAAATTATTCATGGAAACTACCACTAAGTAACAATCTCTCCTAGATCGCTGTTCTAGAGGAGCTGAATTTGCTCCTCTTGGGTTTTCCAAGGTTAATAAATTAATGGGGTAACATCCCAGTAGAAATGAAAGTTTCTGGGTTTCAGGGTCCCCCTGTTATTCACCCCTGGCACTCAGGAACATTGATTCGTGGTGGTAACTCGCTTTTAAATATTTCAAGTAGCTTTCAAGTTGTAAAAAAAAGTGGTAATTTATATGTTGCAAAGGAAAAGGGTGGAGGTGAAGCACTGCCCTGAGTGGAGGGATAACTTCAAAGCAGTCTAGAAGAAGTCTGAGCAGTGATTTGGGATGGGCAGTTGGAGCACTGAAGTTTTGTACTTGCCTGCACAAACCTGAGGGTGGAACAATCCCATCCTGGAGTGTTCCAGGCCAGGCTGGACGGGGCTTGGAGCAACCTGGATGAGTGGGAGGTGTCCCTGCCCAGGCCAGGGGGTGGGATGGGATGAGCTTTAAGGTCCCTTCCAACCCAAACCATTCCAGGATCCTCCAAAAAGGGAAGGGAGGTGTTTTCTGAGGTCAGAGCAAACCAAACCCGTGTCCCTGTGCACTCCCCAGAGGCACAAAGAGCTGCTGTTTGCCCTGTTCTGACAGGACATTCACAGCTCCCTCCTCCTCATTCCTGGAGGAGGAATAGAGCACCATCCCAAAAATGTCATGGAGCTGTAATTTAGAGGTTAATGAGCTCCTGATCTATTGTTCTCGTCAAGCAACCACTTTGAGTTGGAGAGAAGTAAATTAGATATGATTAGTCCCAGTAGTCCAAGTTTTAGAAATGAAAAGTAATCAAGTAGCAACTTTTTTTAATTAAATTCCATCAGAATTAACATAAATTGTCGTTATATCCTTTATTTTTTTCTTCTTTCTGTGTTTCTGAGATTTTTATCTCCTTAAGAGTTAACTACAAGCCTGCAGTCTCCCAGGAAAACAGGAAAAGAAACAAACCAAGAGACAAATGTTTTTACAGCACATGATCTGTAATGAATGATTAAGTAAAACACTTTGTGTAAAATTATGATGTTAATAATGATTCTGTCCCTTTTAATTTATTAGATATTCTCCATGCTGGTAGGGTTGATTTTGATAAAATGGAGCAGCCCCTGAGTTTGTGTGAGGGTTTTATTTTTAGAACTCCTTCTTTGAAAGAACAAATTTCCTCGATACTGCTGCTCCTGTAATTATGTACAAAACCAATCACTCATTATAGTTAGGATACATTATCTTCTAGACAGATGAGGCTAAATAAGCAACACATTAATAATTCATCCTGCAGTTCATTATGCATGTGTATGCATGCTTTGTAGCTGAAATAAGCACCTCATCAACCTGATGCCAACCCTTAAACAATAGTTCTGTGTTATTGCAGCCACATTCGAGTTTACGCTTGTTAAACTGCTACTTGGATTATTTTATCAAGCATTCATTTATTTGTGGTCCCCCACTGCAGAGAACAGATTTTGGAAGCTCCTTTTTTAAGTTAATGACTTGAGCAATGGGTGTTATTAATTCTCAGAATATTATAAACATGATTAATTTTCAGGCAGAGATGTATTAGATCAGGATTTCAGCTATGTCAACTTAAATGAGTCAGTGTCAAAACAAATATCAGTGGAGAGAAAATGCTGTAAATTACTGATTCAGCACGGAGTGTCCCTGCTCTGAGGGAACAGTCCAGCAGGAAAGCCCTGGGTGAGGAGAGCAGCTCTGCTCAGTGCTTGTGACGTTGCTCAGAGCTGCTGACAGCAACAGCTCCCTGGCCTGAGCACTCTGAAGGGTTTGAACTTGATGCAGCTCTGCCTTTATCCAAGGGGGAATGGCTTCCCACTGCCAGAGGGCAGGGAGAGATGGGACATTGGGAAGGAATTCCTGGCTGGGAGGGTGGGCAGGCCCTGGCACAGGTTGGGCAGAGAAGCTGTGGCTGCCCCTGATCCCTGGGAGTGTCCAAGGCCAGGCTGGACAGGTTTGGAGCACCCTGTGCTGGTGGAAGGTGTCCCTGCCCATGGCAGGGGGTGGCACTGGATTAGCTTTAAGGTCCCTTCAGCACAACCCAGTGTCATTCTGTGATCTCACAGGCTCAGTGACCACTGAAGCTGTGAGAATATCAAAATGTGGTTCACAAGGAGCAATTCTGTAGATCTGATCTGGAATGCAAGGTTTGAGGGATTTACAGGGATTCCAATTTGCTGTATGAAACTGTCTGTGTTCAGTAGACACTGTGATCAGCAGGAATTCCTCCACACTAACATGAGTTCACTGGTAAAGACCCATTTATAGAACCAGAGAATCATGGAACAGTCTGGGTCGGAAGGGACCTTAAAGCTCATCCCATTCCACCCCTGCCATGGGCAGGGACACCTCCCAAGGAACACCTTGGAGCCCAGGTTGCTCCAAGCCCCATCCAACCTGGCCTTGGACACTTCCAGGGATGCAGGGGCAACCTGTGCCAGAGCCTGCCCACCCTCCCAGGGAAGGATTCCTTCCCAATATCCCATCTGAACCTTTCCTCTTGCACCTTGAGGCCATTCCCCCTCATCCTCCCACTCGGTGCCCCTTGTGCCCAGGTAGCTGTTGGTCTGTATGAAGTGACTGGAAATGAGGAACTCTGTGCTTTGTCTGCAGCCTGCCCTGGGCAGCCCCCGCTGTGCAGTGGCCAGCACTCAGCTCAGGCACTCCAACCTGGCAGGGACCTCCTACAGCCTCCTCCTGCAGAGCTGCAAAGCTCGTGGCGTTGGATTTGACCTCCAGGTAGGAACGGGGAAGAACGAGGAAATGGGATATTTGCTCTGCAGAACTGCTCTAGGAAATTCTCACGGGGTACAACCACTCAGAGCCACGGAAATCACAGCGTGGTTAAGGTTGGAAATGAACTTTAGGGGCACCAAGTCCGACCATCAACCCAACACCACCATGTTCAGCACTAATCATGTCCTCATGTGCCACCTCCACAGGATTTTAACACTTCCAGGGTTGGTGACTCCGTCACTTCCCACTGGGCAGGCTGTTCCAGTTCTTCACAACCCTTTCCGTGAAGAATTCTTTCCTGATTATCAGATCTGAATCTGAGATCTGACATCTTCCATGCTGCCACTGTCAGGCTCAGGATGACCCAGAGCTGAGGGTTAATCAGAGTTTGTGTCCCAGGGATATCTGAGGTGAAGGACAGGCTTTAAGAACAAGAAAATAAACACATTTTCTCTGTCCTTAAACTGGTGTGTAAGGCTCGTAGGGCTTAACCTGCCTGTTGAGATAAAAATAAGGGGATAATTTAAAAGATACTTTTGACTGCCTTTAGTGCTTAGGAATAAAAGTACTTGCTGTTGAATAGACTCTGCTGTATTTATTGTATAAATTAGAGCAATAATCCCTTCCACACAATTCCAAACTAACCCTTCTCAGCTTAGTATATACCTAATGCCCCTGTGTAACACATTTATTACAATTACCACTATTTTAGGAATAAATAAAGCAGCTTTTTTTTTTTATTTAACAGGAGAAACAGGGGACAGTTTTTCTCCTGTATGAAGACCAGAAGCGCCACAGACTGGGAATGATGTGAGTAAGGACTGTCCCTTCCCCAGGGTGACAAACAGCTGGATGGGAAGGGAAGGAACAACCTCAACACCCTTGGTTTGGGGTCACCAAGTGTCACCTCCTGCTCTGAGAGGTGTAGGATTGGCCTTTGGGGGAGTTTGAGTTCCATGAGGCAAAGAGGGTGAAGTTTGGGGCCTTTCTGTGTTGATTTCCTCAAGGGCTGAGTGGCACTCAGGGAAGTTCGGAGTTCTTTAGACACGTGGATCTCTCCCAAGAGGTCTAAGAAAGTATGATCTGTAAAATTCTGCTATGCACTGACTGCAAACCCCTCCTCAGAGGGAATTCCTGCCAAAATTGGGCTGTTTGAGTGTTTGAAGGGTGTTTGAGTGAGTGAGGGGCTGAAGGGTCCTGCTCTCAGCCTGCTTTGTATTCCTCTGATGCTGGAGCTGCTCCATTAATGACCTGGAGAACAAAACAGCTTCCTCGAGTGCTGGATGTGCCTGCAAGGGTTGTGGAGGGCAGGAACAGAATTCCAAATGATCTCAACAAATTGAAGGAACAACATGTGGGACACAGAATTAGATTTGGTCAGAAGCAGGTGCAAGAAATTGCATTTAGAGAGGAAGAATGAATGTGAGGAACAAGGAGGTTTTCAGGATCTGAGAGTCAAACTGCCTGCAGGCCACAGAGCCAGGATCCTATGGAAAAAGGTAAACTGTATATCCTGGGAGATGCCAGACGTTATCCTTCCCTTCTGCTGAGAGGCAGGCAGGGAAAATGTTGAGAGTTCCAGAGAGTGTGACTGATAAGGAAAGGCTGAAGGAGGAGGAAGAGGCAGAAGTGGGATCTGCCAGCGATCTCCAAGCCTCTGCAGGAAGGAAAAATGTGGTTTCCACATCTAAGTGTTCCATGGAACCCTCCCAACAGCTGCTGCTGCTGGAAGGTGAACTCCTTCCTTCCTTCCCAGATCCCAGCTATGGAGCCTCTTCCCTCCTGTCCTGGTACTGTCACAGCTCTCCAGGAGCTCATTCAGCTCAGTAACTCAGCAGAAAAGCTCTTTTCTTGGGCCTCTTGCATCACCAGCTTGAGTTGGCAGTTATTAATGCATTCCCAGAATACTCACAAGTGTCTTTGCCCTACATCCTGAGCCCAAATTTGTCTGATTTTCAGTGCAATGTCATGGTCTTAATTTGGAAGTATTTTCAGGAATTCAAGTTAGAGTTTTATAAAACTCTTAATACCTGACACATCTCTGAGAATGCTCCATTTTCTTACAGCAGAGATCTGTTGTCACTTCCAGTGAATGAGGTGCTTTAATTCCCCAGTGTAATTCCCTGTTCCATAAGGTCTGTGTGTGCCACTGGGGAACCCTCAAAACCTGCAGCAATCTAAGAAATGCTGACACTGCTGACATTTCCCTTTCACCAATTCTAGGCTGGAGCAACAGTTCTTCTTAACTATTGTGGGTGTTTAAGATGTTTTGCTCTCTCAGTCCTAACTCAACAGCAGCCTTTTATTTGGAGAAGCTGAAACCTCTCTACCCACTTCTGCTAAGTTGATTAATAAAAATTATTTATGACACAAATCCTTCCTGTCGACAAGTTAAAATGGAGCCTCATCTTTCATATCTCCCTGAAGATTGCCACCTTGTGAGATTGAAAATCCTCATTAAATTCCAGCACCAGGCAGGCACAAATGAGAGGGCGATTGTTTTTAAGCATGTGAAGGGAATCATTGGGAAACTCATTTGTTTGGATATCATTAACAGAACAATCGGAGAGGATCTCCAGGGGGTCCTCCTGACCTTTGCTCGCAATCTCTTCATCATCCATCAAGAAATATCAGCACCTAATATGCAAGGCGAGACCAATTTTAAGGTGAGGTGTTAATTAACTAACGATCCCGGGTAATTTCTGTACAGGGCCTGCAAATACCTCATGCTGGATCATAAACAAGTGCTAAAGCATTCCCTTTTCATCGTCGGTGCCGGGTGTTTTACAGTGTCTGGGTCACTGCAGGCAGCCTCCCACTGAACCTGTTAGTTAAATTTAAGTTTGAAACTTTTGCTTTGAAAAGAGACAAACTCCAGCAGGAAACTATTTGTAATCTAATGCTCCCCAGCGTCCTTTGGAAGAGCAAAGGAGCTGTTGGCACTGCCTCACACGGTTCTGTCACAATTGCCTGCCCGATTTTCAAGGGACACCACCATCAAGGTAAGAATCTGAAATTAGAAACAAACTTCCCAGTTGATAACAGCTCCTGGGATTATTAACACTGATTTCTTTTCAGCAGCAGCCACCACGCACTCAACCCATCAGTTCCCATCCCGCGGTTTCCCAAGTGGATTGCGTTCCCGGTTTTCTCTGCTCTTTGTGCCGCAGGGCGGAGGGGGAAGGAGGACAAAGCCCAGGGGCTGCTCCCCTGGTGTGCCCCTGTCCCCCAGAGCAGCCAGGGAAGCACTGATGAATCCAGCCCCGTGCCCTGAACAGCGCTGCTCACAATGCAGCTGCTCCATCCCGAGCTCCCCACGGGCACTGCCCCTGCTGAGCTGATCCCCTCTCACTCCACAGAACGTGTCAGATCCTGTGTGGGAGCGTTCTGGGAAAGGTTGAGGGGAGAGGGGTTAGAGATTTGTATCTTCAATCACATAATAATAATTTACATCAGTCTTCCCGCTCTGACTAGACTTTCCTCTGACAAGCAGAGTGTGAAATGACAGATTTTTAGGGAAGACATAATTATATTTCACAACGTTACAGAATAAACAACAGCAAAAAAAATCCCTTTTTTCCATGTGAGAGTATGAAAAGAAGCCACCGAAGAAAAATATAAAAGGGAACTTTTCTGCATTGTGAGCTAACATATGTGAAATAAAACACCTGTTAGTTAATTAGAAGCACAATTTGTATTTTTATTTACCTGAGCTTTGTACATATTTACTAATAATTCCCCCAACTGTCCCCAAAGTAACAGTAAATTTAATTGGTGCATCCTGTCCTGTGTAAGTCTCTTTACCTGTTCCAGGCAGGCACTGCCAGCTGGGGCTGCTGGATTTCATTATAATGCCCATTAAATAACTTGTATTCCTTGAATCTCTTGCAGATGGCAATTCAAGATATTGAAGCAATTTTAGGAGTTACAGCAGAAAACAAACTGAAATTGGAAGAAGAGCAACCTTGGGAAGCAGATGCTCTGAAAGAATAGTTAACAGAAAATGTTTTAAGTGCCTGATTCCTTATGCCTCTGGAAGTGCTTCCTCATCTGTAAGAACAGGTTTGGGTTTTTCTTCCTGTGTTGTTGTGTGAAGCAACATTAACTGAGAGAGAACATCTCCATCATTTCTGGCTGTGGTGTTTGGAATGTCCCTTCTTTCCCCAAAAAAAGCCCTGTTGAAGAGCAGGGGGTCATCCTGATGCTCCTCGTGTTGCTGTTGCTGAAGTTCAGTTGTGCTGCTGTTTCCATTATCTACACATTTTTGCAGCAGTTGTTTTATGTTCATTTTCAAATTTTCAAAAACAACAGTAATAGCACTAATTCATCGATAAATCCTGCGAGGACCATTATAATTCCACTTGCACTGTGGTTCCCAGGCTTCCATGACTTCTGCAGGTCTCTCCATCAGACAGATTTTGTTATTTCAGATATTTTTTGTTGCAGTTGCTGTGCACTGTATTAAGGCCAACAGTTACATTTCTAAAATTATCATCAGTATCCCAAGAGAGATCACATTCTGAATTTTCTTATAGAATCTTCTTTTATTATAGCATCTTCTCTGTGGGATGGAGACTATTATCCCAAGCATGGCAAGTGTCTTTGGGATGACTTCCCAAAAACCTCATGGAACACCAGTTTTAAGACAAACACTGACTGGGACCAAGATCAGTGCCCAGTTTTTCCAGTGCTGACTCTTTGATCCCTGAACATCCCACATTATCTTTTGTGTAGCCTTTCTCTCTTCCACTTTGGTCACAGAATTAATTAATTGCAGATGAGAACATTTGCATAAATGCTCATCCCTGCTTCAAATAAAAATCCAAGAGAGTGTTTTTGTTTAATTCTCGGGTTTATTCCTTTTTAATTCATAATCTCAGTCTAGTCTTGGATGTGGATATAGCAGAGCCCACACAGATTTTTCGGAGGTGGAACTGAGCTGGACTCTGAAGGGTTAAGGAAAACCAAGCCTTGATCCAAGCCAGAACAACATAAGGTCTGAGAGGCTCATTAGTTCACTGGCACTTAATAGACTGCAGTGTCCTGGGAGGAAATGAAACCTGCACTTCCTTCTGGCTTTGTTCTGTCCTGACAAAAGAAAACTGTACCTGTTTTTGCAGGAAACAAGTGACCTGAAAGTTCCCGTGGTGAGAGAGATTTCTCAGCACGTGCAAAGTGTGAAATGTATTTGGAGGGGGGGAAAAAAAAAGTTCTTAATTACTATTAACACTTCTGAGCCTTGAGCTGAGGGAAGGATTGAAACTGCTTGACAGTCTCTCACATTCCACTCCCATGCTGTTGGTGCCAAAAATTTAGGGGTTTTAGGAATACAGCAGATAGAAAATGGAATTAAAATCTTTAAAAAAAAAAAAAGGTGATGTCCACAGCTGGAAATGAAGGTGTTCAGCTGACAGCACTTGGTGGATTTTGTGTTGGCAAGAATTGATGTGCTGTGTGTAAAGAGGTTGTTCTTCTGGGAGAGCATCACCTGGAGTTGATGACACTGGAAACTGGGGCTCCTGTTTTAGGTAGTTGGGTTTAAAGCCCTGGATAAAAGATAAAAAAACTGAGACATTCAGCCACGTTTCTACATTTAGAGCGACAACTCTTGAGCACAGAGCAAAAATGCAGTCCTTCAGCACATCCACCCCATTGAAACTCAGGAGAATTTCCCACCTTCCATCCAGGTTAAGGTAACAAATCCCTGGATTTTTAAGAGCAGCCTGGTCCTCAGCATTTCACAGTGATCAGTGAACATCAGCTGAAGTAACATCAGATTAACAGTGGGATGCTGTAGATCTGTGTCTGGATCCTCTGTGTGTCATTGGAGACTGCAAATTTTGTTACAGCACTAAAGATTTAGGCACTGCAATCAGTGACAGCCTTAATTAATGTAATTTAATATATTGTGGCCATGAAATAACTCTTAAGCTGCAACACCTCAGTTCAGCTGTATGGCACACAGTGCCACACTCCAGCTTTTCTAAGCTCACTGTTGCCACTAACAGATAAATATATATAAATAAAGATATTAAAGCTAACTATATGCTCCATTAATTATAGGAAGGTGAACTGGAGTCAAGTTTGTTGCTGGCAATGATGAATAATTACTGGTTCTCCACACATGTAGTACATTAGAGTAAATAAACGGGGCACGTTGTTGGGCAGTAATTGATTAATTAGCAAGTTCATACCAGATAGCTCAGTGGTTTAAGATTGCTGAGTTTGAGATATTGCTTGCAATTATTGAAAGGAAAAACCTGTTTCCATTTCTCAGTTTTCTACCTTTTTTTTTTTTTTGCTTAAATACAATGTTTAATGGTTCAAAACCTTGGCTTTTATTTAGAAAAATGGAATATGGGAATATTTCTCTTTGAGGTGTCTGACACTTGGAACACTTTTTAGGGTGGTATCGTTACAGAGAGTGATTTTAAAATATTTCTCTTTGAAGGGCCCTGACACTTGAAAGAAGGATTTTTTTTTTTTTAGGGTTGTATGACTGTTAATTTTCACTACATAAAATCAACAGAGCTGAATACACTTTCTCCTGAGCGCAGGTGAATCTGGTCCATGCTGCAGGTGCAACACAGAGGTGGTTCTGGCAGCACATCAGTGTCACCAAAACCCCTTCAAAAATGTGGGTGCCCTTTTTTTTTTTTTTGTGATGTTCTCACTGGTTCCTCGGTCCGGGGGGGGCTCAGGGTGACCCTCGCCCGTCTGCTGGGGCAGCGTGTCCGTCACAGAACCAGGGAATCACCGAGGATGGAAAAGCCCTCCCAGCCCATGGATCCCACCTTGTCCCCAGCCCAGAGCACTGAGTGCCATGGCCAGGCCTTCCCTGGACACCTCCAGGGCTGGGCACTCCAAACCTCCCTGGGCAGCCCCTGCCAAGGCCTGACCACCCTTTCCATGAGAAATTCCTGCTGATGTCCAACCTGCCCCTCCCCTGGCCCAGTTTGAGGCCGTTCCCTCTCCTCTTGTCCCTGTTCCCTGGGAGCAGAGCCCGACCCCCTGGATCCCCGCTCCTGTCAGGGACTGCAGAGCCAGAAGGTCCCCCCGAGCCTCCTTTTCCCCGTGCTGAGCTCCCTGAGGCTCTCTCGGTGTCTCCGGGGCCGGGCCGTGCCCTCCCCCGGCGCAGGCGCGGCCGTGCGGGCGGCTCCGCGGGCCCCGCGGGATGCGGGCGGTGCGGAGGCTCCACGAGGCGGCCGTGGCGCTGCTGCTGTGGCGGGGCCCGGGCCCGGCCCGGCCCGCGGCCTCGGAGGTGCTGAGCCAGCACCTGCGGCAGCGCCGCCTGCCCCACTGGACCTCCTTCTGCGTCAAGTACAGCGCGGTGCGCAACGACCAGTTCGGGCTCTCGCACTTCAACTGGCCCGTGGACGGCGCCAATTACCTGGTGCTGCGCACCGGCTGCTTCCCCTTCATCAAGTACCACTGCTCGCGGGCCGCGCCGCAGGACCTGGCGCTGCAGAACGCCTTCTTCACCGCGCTCAAGGTGCTCAACGCCGGTGAGTGCGGCCCGGCCGGGCCCGCGGGGAGGGCAGGGCAGGATCGGGCACGGCCTGAGGGGGAAAGGCGCCCGCGGGGGGGCCGGGACGGCGGCGCTGAGCGGGGAGCTCCGGCCCTTCTCCCTCTCCTCCTTGTCCCCGTCACCTTGTCTCCCTCTTCATTTCTCTCCCCTTGTCCCCCTCTCTTTGCTCTTCTCCCCTGCATTCCATTCTGCAGTCCTCTCCTTGTCCCTTGCTCCCTCTGTCCTTCCCTCCCTTCTCCTTGTCTCTTATTCCTCTCTCCTTGTCCCCTTTCCCTTGTCCCCTTCTCCATGTCCCTTTCCCCCTCTTTCCCCGTCCCCCCTTTGTCCCCCTGCCTGTGCCGGAGGGGCTCCGGGAGTTCAGAGGGACCCCCGGGCGGAGGCCGAGCTGGAAATCGGTCCTGGGGGAGCTGTGACCGAGGTTCGTGTTTCTCTGGCCATTTGTGACAGCGACAAATCCAACGCGACAGCGCTTGGGGTTTAAACGGCTCTCACCTTTAGGAGGGAGCGTTTTCCAGCTGAGAGTCTGGTGCTGGGGGTGAAGGTCTGTCCTCTGAGCGAATGTATCCGCTGAAGCCAAACTCTGGGTCTGGGCTAGTCTGTGCTGCTGGAATATAAATCCTTACAATAAAAATGCTCCATCAGCGCCTCATCGTTAATATAAAAATAGCTATAAATGAGTTTTGAAACACGTTCATTCCAAACTTTGGCTGTGGATGCAATGTTTGTAAATGCTGGCAGTGACAGTGGCGTAACACTTCGTAACTTTGTTGTTTTCGTATTTAATATTTAAAATTTAAATATTTCATATTTAGTTTTTAAAAATCTCCTTCATAAGTCAGCAGTGACTTTTTTCCAAAACATGTCTGCTAGTCTTAATTTCCTGATCTTTCCAAACTGAGCTAGTAAGAAAATACAATCATAGAAAGTGATTTTGTAAATAACAAATTTAAATTTGGGGTTTTTCCTCCTCCATCCAGTCAGACATTTTATCTTTCTCACAGCTCCCTGCATGTAGATTTAAATTATGGCAAAACATGATTAAAAAGTCACCTCATCTCCCTCACAGTCTTGCTTAGGCATTTGGATAAGTTGAAGCACAGTAAATTTGGTGTTTCTGAACCTTCCTGAACTCAGGGCCTAAACCCATCTCCATTTTTCCCTCTGTAATAAATAAAATATTGTCTGTAAGAGATGGGTAACTTGGCAGTGCTAAAAAATGTGTCACTTTTTGTGTATAAACCTTTCTGCCCATTGCAGTTCTCTTGGGGTTGTGTCTGATTTTCCCAAGAGCATGTGTATGTACATATATATATATATAATTGGTAGAAATCAGGCTGTATGCATGACCATGTTTCACTTTTTTCATATCATTATCCTCCCATTTTGTTTTTCTAATAATTCCTGTGTATTCCTGCTTTTCTTTAGCTGTTTCCTGACTCCTGTGTGCTCAATACACAGCAAGGGTGTTTTTTTTAAGAGCTGCATTTGAGTAAAGGCAGAATTATAAAGCAGCTTTTCCAGGGCTGCTTTCCCTCCCGTTTCATTTCGGAGTCATCATTTACTATTAATCTGCAGTTTAATTTTCCCTGCCTTGCTCTCTTTGTGTGTAACATGTTTTTGTTTTTCCTCAGGCATCCCAACTTTACTGTATGGAATTGGCTCCTGGTTCTTTGCCAGTGTCACAGAGACTGTTCAAACGAGTCATGGCCCAGTTACTGTTTATTTCCTAAATAAAGAGGATGAAGGAGCCATGTACTGAACTCAGGCCTTCAAGTCCCTGTTGTTTGGTGATTTCTGCTGCAAATATTTGCTCCCTTTGCCTAAAAAGAACCGAAGGAAACTGTTATTTTCTTACAGTGCATCCTCATATTTAATGTGCTGGTTCAAGAAGCTTCCTGGACTTTTTGGTCATGAGGGATTTATTTCTGCAGAGGTCAGTAAAGTTGCAAAGGTAGAAGCTTTGGGAGAAGAATTAATATTTCTGAGGGTATTTATGGCAGTCACTGACTGGTACTCCTGGACAAAGCTGTGATAATTTAAAGATCGTTTAGCAGATTAGAGAACTGAACTGTAGCCTGTGAACATGAACACACTGACATTTTCAGAATGTCTCTGAAAAGATGAAGCTGCTCAGGTTTACACTCTGACAGGATGTTTTGTTGTCATAGTTGCAACTGTCTCTGAATGAATTTGTGGCACTGACTTTACAGTCACCTGGAAGAGCCTTTGGGGAAAAAAATACCATCCTGAAAATTTAAAAATGGCTGTATCACATTTCTTTAAATGATATTTCAATAAAGCATCTAAAATACATTT